CCTTTGTAGGAAACGTCTATGGAAATGTGGAGAAAGAACAGGGACTAGTGACCAGTGGAAAATAAGAAGATGTACAATGGGAATGTCCAGAAAACAAGAGTCTGAAAATCTTTTTGTGTGCATGACAATGTAACAACCTAGTTCTTCCAGTTGCCTACAATTAAAAGGTGAAGGTGACCAAAGTCACATTCCAGGTGGCAGCTTCAGATGTATGTAAGTAAGTCCTGCTCCCTCAATGGCCTTGATTTCATTTTGAAAAAAATTCAATGTTTTCATGATTTTCCTTTTATTTTAACACTACAAATCCTTCAGTCTCTTATCACTTTATCATAAATTCTAAAGCCATGAGAGAAGTACTCAAAGTCCTCAATGATTTGGTTTCTACTTCACTCTCCAGAGTCATTTTCTACCATGTCTGCTTTGCTGTTATCTTTGAGTCATTATAATTTTCCTCCAAACCCCATGCCCTTTCACATGTCTATGATTTTATTCAAGTTATTCCCTCATCACCTCTCTTTACTTAGCAAACTTTTACTTATTCTTCAAGGTGAAACTCAGGGAGTACCTTTAGAAAGCCTTTTCTGGACTCCTGAACTTACCATAGCTTCCTGAGTTTAGCTTTTCCCTTACATTGTAAAATTATGTAGATAGGTATTTTGCTTAATTTCTGTCTCCCTCTAAGTATGCCCCCAAGCAGCCATGCCTGGCACACAGTAGGTGCTCAGTGGGGCTTGTTAAATTGATAGGCAACTCAGTTACCATTTTCCTTTTAAGAAACATCAAACTCTGGAATTCAAAGTGAAAATTACCATGCTCATTGTTCATAGCTCTTAACTGTTTATAAAAATTTGAGACAAAGATCTGTGGCATTTCTGAGCAGGGTGGCCTGTCTTAAAGTCGATCTACTTCATCCTCTCCTGACTGTAGTTAAGGTGATATAAGAGAGACCCAGAGCTCAGAAGTGATTTATCGAGATACATAGCTAGCAAATAGAATGGCAAAGAATTTTCTTCCACATCTCTGCAATTCCTGACCAGCAGGCTTCTCACTGCTTTTCCCAATGAAAAATGATCTGTTCTCTCCTCCCCTACTTCAATCCCATTCAGCTTTTTGGGAAGCGAGAAGAGTAACTACCAGATCCTACACACCACCACACTGGTGACCTGCTGTAGGTATGGCAACCTTCAACTACACTGATAGCAGCCACTCACTCTTCATTCTGCTGGGCATCCCTGGCCTGGAAGACCAACACACATGGATCTCTCTCCCCTTCTTTCTTTCCTACCTTGTTTCCCTACTTGGGAATAGCCTCCTCATCCTCGTCGTCATGATGGAACATAGCCTCCATGAACCCATGTACCTTTTCCTCTGCATGCTGGCTACGGCTGACCTCATCCTGTCCACGACCACTGTGCCCAAGGCCCTGGCCATATTCTGGTTTCATGCTGGGGAAATCTCCCTTGATGGTTGTGTCACCCAAATCTTCTTCATCCACGCAACTTTCATCGCTGAATCAGGCATTTTGTTGGCAATGGCATTTGATCGCTATGTGGCCATCTGTGACCCCCTGCACTATAGCACAGTGCTCAGCCGTGCAGTAATCACAAGGATTGGCCTGGCTGTGGCCTTGAGAAGCTTCTGCGTGATACTCCCTGATGTGTTCCTGGTGAAGCGACTGCCTTTCTGCCGTAGCAATCGGTTGCCGCATACCTACTGTGAGCACATGGCTGTGGCCAAGTTTGCATGTGCTGATATCCGTGTCAATGTTTGGTACGGCTTGTCTGTCCTCCTCTCCACTGTGGTGCTAGATGCCTTGCTCATCTTAGTTTCCTACAGCCTCATCCTTTATGCAGTCTTCCACCTTCCTTCCAGAAGAGCTTGGCAAAAGGCTCTAGGCACATGTGGTTCCCACCTTGGGGTCATTTCCATGTTTTACTTGCCTGGCATTTTTACCATAATTACCCAGAGGTTTGGGCACCATGTTCCTCTCCATACCCACATTCTTCTGGCCAATGTCTGCATGTTGGCCCCTCCCATGATGAATCCCATTATTTATGGGATCAAGACTAGGCAGATTCGAGAGCGTGTGCTCAGTACTTTGTCATTACAGTGGAAATGATGCCAAGTTTGATTGGGTGGTATATTTATCAATGTAGACCTTCTCACTTTTTTTGTGCCCACTCTGAGGAGGTTTATGACTTTGGAGTTCCACTAACAGCAAAGTGACTCAAAGTGAGTCAGACTGCCATGTGAACTGGAGAAGGGTATTGTTTAGGAAAGAACATGAGCTTTTGGATCACACTTGGTTTGAATTCTGACTTCACTGGTGATAACAAAATGTTTAATCTTGGGAAAATTACTTATTCTCTCAAAGTCTTAGCATGTGCTTGGTGGTAACAGAAAAAGAGGCAAATCAAAATCAAACTAAGCAAATTAAACAAATCTATCTGTAATTCACTTATCCAAGGGCATCACACAAAAAAAACCCCACCTAGACAGAACCTATATTAATCATATACATGCATTTAATATCACTTAAAATACATTTGTTTGAATTTGATATGGGGGTTGCCATAATCCCCAAATGCCTTGATTATGCCCCGATTGTAGCTTTATCATAAGGGTGTGAGAGAACCAAGTATAGACAGGATCCTAGCTCTACATAACACAGGGTAAATTGTGGATACATTTAAAACTTTTCTTCTGTTCTGCTTTTAGCTCTAATCCCTGAGGGGTGGAAAGTTGATTCACGAGTTTATCTCCCACTTCTATTATCATTCGTGAATTAAAAGTCTCTTTCACTGTTCAATCCATCTTGTTATTAGTTCCACAATTCTGAAAGGGAAAAATGGGCCCAGTCTTTGGGGTCAAAATGGGTTACAACAGGACTGAAGGTGGCGCAATTTCAAGAGAGGGGTGAGGCGAGTGGGATGGGGCAGAATCATCCAGGTCACCTTGAATCTGGAGGAAAGGAAGAGGTGAGAACAGGCAGAATAGTCTCTTCTATCAGAGAGGAAACAAATGACGAAGGATGCTCTGGGTTTGAGAAAGCAAGAGGAGGAAAAGGAGAAAGTTATCACAACATACTTATGATACTCTAGTCAGAGTCTGTCCCACCTCCTACTTCTGAACCCAGAAACCACACTACCCTCCTGGATCTCTTTCTGCTGAGGCTGTCAGATGCTATGCCCTCTCCACAGAAATGCAGTGTTGGTCACTGCAACTGTGCCTATTCTGTCCTCCCACAGGGAGGCTCCTGCTCCAGACACACAGGCCCGAGCTGCATATATTTGAGAGAGCTTGTTAGTCGCTGAATCCATGGTTTGGATTTCTTTTTTATGCCTGTTCACACACTGCTTTCCACCATCAAACCATTCAAGCTGGAGATGTGGGCTGGGGGCAGGACTTTGAGATGAGGTAAGCTGGTCACAACAGGAAGCAGATGAAACTCATTTCACCATCACTATTTGCATGGAGGGGAAGATAAAAGCAAATTCTCTCCGCACCTTGGATGATGGGATACTTCATCCTCAGAAGTATCTTTTTAGGAGAATCTGGAAGACAAACTTGTTCTTTCTCCTTGGTTCTGTGTGTCACCTGCTGACCTAGAATGCATGCTGACAGACTCATTTCTCCAGGCTCAAAGCCACTTCCTCATAATTGGAGATGTGGCCACAGCCACCCTCCTCTGCTATGTCTTAGAAACACTTATTCTATGTAAACCAGAAATACTTGCCTAAAAGGAAGGGGAATTTGAGAGTGGGGTGATAAAACTGGATGTTCTAGGGAGAGTAGGAGTTTGCCATTTTTCTGGGAAGAATATTGAAATCAGGGGGCATGTTCATCAGCTTTTTGTTCCTGTGACAAAAATACCTGACAAGAACAACTTTCCTTAGAGGAGGAAAGGTTTATTTGGGTTCAGTTTGAGGTTCAACCCATGGCTGATTAAAATTCCATTTCTTTGGGCCTAAAGTGAGGCAGAACATCATGGTAGAGGGGTCGGGTAGAGGAAAGGCAGCTCATTATATGGTAGTGACAACCCAGATAAAGCAAAGAGCCAGGGAGAAGAGATAATCTCCAAGGACCTACTGTGACCTATGCCTCCAGCCACATCCCACCTGCCTGTAGTTACCATCTAGTACAGCAATACTTTCAAACTGTTAATATATTTAATGAATCAGTCACTGATTGGGTTATGGGTGTTATGATCTAATCATTTTACCCCTGAACATGGTTGCATTGGATGACATGAATTTTGGGGGGAATACCCCCTATCCAGATCATAGTAGGGGGTTGTTCCAGGCTGGACTATATGAACAGTGTTCCAGGAACTTTGATGTTATCACTAGTAAAAATATGAGAACATGGACAGAAGGTGTTTTTGCTGAAAGCTCAGTTCTTGTCCCCTGTGGCAATTCAATAACAAGGACAAAGTTTTGAGCAAAGGAGATACACAGGGGACTCCTGTCCCAAAGGCAGTGATTCTGCCCATCAGCAGGAACAAGGGGGCTTTTAAAGAGGCGATTCAGAGACCACGTTCCCCGTGTTCTGTCAGAGTTGTAACTCACTTATTAATTTGGAAGACATTCACTTCTGATTTTGAAGTACCATCCCCAAAGTTTGGGTTACTTTGTTCCTATGGTCGGTGCGTACTCAAGGACAGATAAATCTGGTTACAATGGGGAAGAAAGGTAATCCTGCTTCCCCAAGACTAGAGAGGAGCAGGGAGAGAAGAGAAAGAAAGGTTCATTTAAAAAATAAGTTGCAATGGCAGAGCAGCAAGGGCTGTATTAACAAAAACACAACCCCCACCCCTTGTCCTTTTCTTATGCTTAAAAAAATCAACATTAATTATGTTTAGAACTGTTCAAGTGTTTGGGGTTTAAGTCTGAATTGTGGCTCAGAGGTAGAGTGCTTGCCTAGCATGCACTAGGTCCCAGGTTCAATCTCCAGCACAGTAGGGAACCTCAATATTTGGGGTTTAAGGAACAATGAGTAAATTGGAGACTGAAAGCACGATGTATTTAGGAAGCCCTTTTCCAAACCATAAAAAAGACAAGCCAAAGGCAATAGCCTAGAGAGATATTGTTATACAAGTCACATAAAGGAGGCAGAAACACGGTTTTTGGTCGAGTTTGAGTCAGATATGAGGAATTGCCTTCACTTGAGGGCATCCTAAAGGAATCTATGGCAGGAATATTGATATTGAAGGTCATTTGGCTTTCAGTGGTCTCCCTGCTAAAGCCTGCTTGCCGAGACCCTGACACCTATGCAGAGACAAGACAGTTCAGAGTTCATGGGATAAAGGCAGGGTTCATGGCTGAGAAGGGACACCCGATTTTGACCATCCCGTTTTCAGCGGGCAGAGGGCCAGAGGGCCTGAATTTCCTCCTCCATTATTGAAACCAGGGTTGAAGAAGGGCCGCAGGGGTTCCGTGAAGGCACATTCAGAGAAGGTGTAGATGAGGGAGCCATGATCAGTGATGTTATAGAAGGAGATGATGCCATCCTCATAATTCAAAAAAATCCCAACTTGGCACGGAGGCACCTGAAGATGGAGGGGAGTCTGGGGACAAGTGCCAGCCTCATACTTTTTGTTCCACAACCAAATTGTCCAGAAACCATTCTCAGTATCGACCAAAAATTGCCCCTTCCTCCGTACAGAGTTTCTGCAGACCCCCAGGTCCCAGGCCTCCTTTCCCGTCACATCTACCTCCCAGTAGTGTTTTCCAGAGTTGAAGCTCTGGGCACTGAGGACTATAGGGTAATTATCAAATCTCTCTTCATTTTCTGGTACATCCTGTCGGGTGTTTCCAAGTCTCACTTGTCTCCTGTCCTCTGAAAGGATGAGCCATGGATTGGCTGTGTCTTGATCCAGAGTGATGTATACTGCAGAAAGAGGACATAGGTCTTGTGTGTTATAGGGGCAGTGTCAGTAATCCTGTGCTCCTCATGGGGAGACACTCCCCATTGAGGGGGTGACCCTGAACATCATATGATGAAATGACACCCGGCCAACCCCAGCCTTATCCTGACATCTGAAGGAACCTTCTCTAACTCTTCCCCATGTACTCTGACCTGCCACCTCTTCTTCTTGACCCCGGGATCCTCTGCCCTCCCATTATTCCCTTTTGCTCTAGCCTAGCAACTCCTAGAGGTCACCTCACCTCCATAGCTCCTCAGCATTTTCTTTAGTCCTGGCACATGACAGATACTTCTTAGGTCTGGGGAGTCAATGTCCAGCTTCTTCAGGTTCCAGGACTCACTCCTGGGGGAAAGAATTAGAGATCTGTCTCCCACTTCTATCCTAGATCCTAATGAAACTTATAAACACCTCGTGTTCTAGTGTCCAGGTGAGAGAGAAAAAAAAAGAATATGGTGTTTAATTTCTATCAAAGAGTTCCTGGGTCCATGAACCTCTGCAGACTGTGGGTATTCTACAGTTCTTCTCCAAGCCCAATGTCAACACACAAGTGTGTTCTGTTTCATTTTACAGGCAAGGCATGTGATATAGGCTGAACCACTTCTCTAATGAACCTTGAGGAACCTTGCCCATGCTGTGGGTCTTACTCATGGCTCATTCTGAGAGGTTTGCAACTGGTTAGATCACATCTAGAAAATAAGTCCCAGCAGGCTGTGGATTCAGAACTTCCCAGAACATCCTTGTTTGTTGGGGCTTTACTGTATGACAATGCAATAGTCTGATTACTTTGGACAATTTACCAATTGAGGTGTCTGTTTATTAGCTTTCTGAGTCCAGAAAATATTTTATAGAGGGTCAGGTCTTTGAGATTTGGGAGGCATATATAGAAATGCATGCCCTAAAATTTTTCCCATCAATCAATAGATATGTGCTTCCTGCCACTCATTCTTTTGGGGAGAAAATTTCTCCTTACCTTTCCAGGACAACTTTCACCTCCTAAGGAGAAAAGAGACAGTGTAAGTTTTGGAGTTTCAGGCGCAAATGTAGAGTTTTAGTGTTGTGGGAAGGTGGTATCACCCTGTGATCCTTGGGGATCTGCTTTACCCTGGTCCTCTGGTCCAAGGCCCAAATGATGATTCTGACCAGCTTGTAGCAGAAAGAATGTGGGGATGTTTGTGGGGTAACCAGAAACCTAGCACAGGTGTATCCTACAGCCAGGGAAGGATCCTCAGTTTAAGGACTCCGATTCAGAGAACAAATTAGAAATATCAGATTCTTAGAGGGGGTTGGGGGAGGAAGGAAGGTGGAAGAGGGAAAATAGCACAGCCTGAGTAAAGCCCAGGGACAGTCACAGGGAAAGAGGCTCAGGTACGATGCCCAGAAATAGCACCCTTTTACTTGTGGGCTGAGTTGTTTGGAGAAGGTTTAGTTAATGCTGTGTCCTGTGCTGTGGGTAATGTTGTCCAATCAACTGAGCATATTAGATTGTAGGGTTGGAGGCCCTCACATGGAAACTGGCTCGCTCCTAGGCCCAGTCCAAAGGGCATCAGGAAGTCTAGTTCAGTGTTGGGCAGAAGACAGCCTGCCAAGTCAAGCCAATATAAATCAGAGACAGTGGCTCCGTCTTTAAAACAAGAACTACAACAACAAAAAACAGGACTATTTTCATGACCACATCTGACTGGAAGAGTGAAAGGTGTGGGAAAAGAACCATAGAACATTAGAGCAGAGGGACTTCTGATACCACTTCGTTTTCCAAAGTGAGGACAACATAACCCATTGGTGGATGCAAGATGATTTTAAGCAGGACATATATACATTAAAAAAAAAAAAGCAAAGTTGATTCTTACTTTTTACTACTTCAGTGAACTTCATTAAATCATTTGATTTAGTCTGATTAACATCTCTTTTCCTTAGTTGTCTTATTTATGAAATGGAATAGTAGTATTACCCACAAAGTTTGGCAAATCATATGTACTATAAGAATTTGTAGTTATTAATACATGAAAATTGGCTACTATTGTTCTAGAAAAAAATCTTTTAAAACTAAATGTATTCAGGAAAAAGTGAGGCAATTTAAAGAAAAATAACATTAAGATCATTTAGTCGTAGAAATAGCAGAGAGTGTACAGATGATGTGTTTGAGTAACATTAGGAGAACTATCGTTATTTAGTCCACTGGTATCAAAAATAGAGACGACAGGTCTAGAAAAGAAAAGGGGCTTAAGCTAGAGTTGTGGAGAGAATTGGTGGCAGAGCAGGAGCCACCGTCTCTTAAGATTCAGTTCACTTTTTTTGGTTGTATTAAAAACTTCCTCATGGATAAATATATCAATTTTTCCCCTCAATCACTCCTAGAACCTTTCTTCCCAACTCACCTGCAGGAGCTCCAGTGCTGAGCCCCGACTCTTCCACTCCAGCTCCGAGATCAGCTCTTGCAGGGTCTGGCTTTGCCGGGCCAGTTCAGCTTCCGTCTCTCCCAGGATTCTAAGTTGTTCCATCTCATCCTTCTCCAGCTTCTGCATCTGCCTCTGTTCTTCTTCATCCAGGAAGATTTTCTGCTGCATAAACTCTGCATGAATCCTTGATTTGTGTGTCTCAATCTGCCTCTTTATGTGAAGAGAAAGAGATGGTTTCTATGAAAATTTCCCAAGCTTTGAGGATGGAGGTGTTGTTGCCTATTTTTGTCTCTTGAAGACTCAACAGTCTGGTTATGTCTGAGAACTCACACACACACACAATTTTGCTGGGGACTTTGGTAGGCAAGTGTATGAAGCTTCTGGAACTAGCATTGGTAGTGGTTGGGGCACATTGTAGCTATCCTATAATCACAGCCACATCAACATATGGCATTAGCAGATACTTCTCAACCTTTTTTCCAAAATGCAGTTGAAAGTCCATTTGTCCTTTGCATCTCAAGGAGTTAGAGAGTAAAACTTGCTCTCACTCATGACAACTTCACAAAGACAGGATCACAATACCATTCCTAAATTCCAGGGAAAGGGTGGCTTTGGGATATTCTTGGATTGCCCTTTCCTGCTAGAGACTAGAGGGCCAACCAATAACATAGAATATACTCTTTTACCACTGTCAGGGTATAAGTGGCAAAAGGGTGTATGTACTGAGATCCTTCCATAGCCCTCTAATCCTGGACACTCCCTACCTCTTCTAGAAAAAAAAAAAAAAATCACCAGTTTGGAATAGGCTTTAGTTCTCCATTATACTTTGGGCCAGAGACCTGGACATGGTCAAGCAACTATCTGGTCAGACTGTTTTTTCCTGCCTCTGATCTTGATGGTTTCCTTCAGTCTTTCTTCATAGCCCCTGCCATTTACTAAAATGGCCTCACAGTGGTTTCTTTCTTAGGATAAGTGTCACAGACACTGAAATGCTGATGTTGTAATCCTCTGAAACTGGGCTCAGAATAGCACAGTTTGAGCCTTTCAGTACCTTCTCCAGTGATGCTCAATTTTTGTGCCTGTTAAAAAGCCCCCATTCTTTTTATTCCTCTCTATACATAGACCTAGGAGGTAGACCATTCATAGAGTGAGATATACCAACTCCATTCCTCCTCAAAAGGTATAGCTAGTTAAGATTCCCCAAGTTCAAGAACCTGGGCCCTTCCCAGACTTTAACTCTTGCCTTCCAGTCTGCTCTCTTCATTGCAAGATCCACTTCCAACTTCTCTGTCAACTCCTGCTTCCTTCTCAGTTTCTCTAATGCCTTTTGGAGCTTCTCCTGTGGAGAAGGATAGCAGGTTAATCCCTTGCCAGACCAAAAAGTAGGATGAGGGGTGTGGATTGGGGCAAGGTCATATTGGTTCTAAGAAAAAAGACTAAGTACAAAGAAGGAGGGAGGACTAGAGACTGACTGCCACAGGAATTCCCATCTAGAGAATTCCTACTCCAAAATTTTACTTTGGCAAAAGCCTACTACGTCTCATGAAACAGAGCTCTTCTAATGGGGTGGCAGGATGGGGGTATTACTCATTTCTAATTAACCAGGAGGCCAAGAGGAAACATGATCTTTGAAGTATTTTCCCATAGCAGATCCCCTACCCTTGGGAGTGAGAAGGTTGTAACCTGCAATTTCCCCTTAGACAGGGAAGGAAAGAAGTATTCCTCCTTTTCCCCCCCAACTTCAACTCCAGAGGTAGCTTTTTTCTTCCTGCTGCTCTAGGGAACAAACACTCATCAGGGCCCATCTTCTCCAGGGATTCCAGCGTTTGTCTGTGCTAAGGTCTCACCTGGTATTCCTGAGCAGCCTCCTCAATAGGGACCATGGTGTGGTCACGGTGTTTCTTGGATTGGGCACACACCCAGCAAAGGGCCTGCCCATCTTTCTCACAGAACAGGTGAAGTTTCTCTCCATGCACAGCACAGCGTGCTCCCTGTGTCTCTTTCTTGGCATCCTGGCCTATTCGTCGAAGGTTTTCCACCATGTTGGCTAGCTGCCGGTTGGGTCTGAGGTGCCTGAGCATAAAGTGCTGCCGGCACACAGGACAGACACTGCCTCCATCTTTCCCAACCTGAGAGATGCATTCTTGGCAGAAGCTGTGGCCACATTCGATGTTCACAGGATCCACCATGGGATCGAGGCAGATAGCGCATGTGACCTCTTCCCACATCATTTCCAGGGGTATTGCTGAGGCCATAGTGGTGATGTCCCTCTTAAGCAGAACTGAAGATTTTGGGTAGGCTTATGGGTAGAGAATAAGAGAAAAGAGAAGATGAGGTTTGTATGAGAAAAACAGAGGAAGACATGAGAATGAACTGGAGGAGTGAAAATAAGAATTTATCAAACTGACCAGCAAGGACCTCCCTATAGTCTGGCCTATTGATCCAGTCAGAGGAGGAAATCAAGTCTCCAAGAAGAAGTAGAGAAGATTGGCGGGAGCCTTAGAGTAAAGCTATTGAATTATACATGATGAGTGATACTTTCATCATGCCCATCCCTGCTTAAATCCTCAGTGCCCAGTCTTTTCCCATCTACATTCTCCCATCTCATGCCACCAAGCTATCATGTCAATAATGTCAATAATAAACTAATTATAATAGTGACCATTTACCATGTACCTTCCACACTCCACAGAGGTGATTCATGTTTTACACCTGGTCTTCATTAATCTATAAAATAATGGCAGGAGTTGGGTGACATACAGTCATGTACCACATGACATACTGGTCAGTGATGGACTGCACGATGGTACAACAATAGTTTATATCATATAACCCAGGTGTGTAATAGGCTACATGATCTAGGTTTGTGTAAGTACACTCTGATGCTTGCACAACAGTGAAATCAGTTAATAGTACATTATTAAGGGATGTATGATTGCATATGTCAAAATAAACGTAAATGTGTATTATATACACAGATGTTTTGAATATATGTATGTATACATGTGCATTCAAGGATACATATGCTACAGACACATACACAGCACGTGTACAGACAGACATACACAGCACTCCCTGGGATCTCTCAGCTGTTCCAAACTTAGAACCCGACTCCACTTCCTCTAGGTGAACATTCTAAAGGGCTGCCCCTCAACCCCCAGAAGGGGGACTTCGGCAGGGGGAGGGGATTGTCTCATGTAGGTTCCCCTGGGCCACCCTCTGGGCTCAGTTATAATGCCGATTCCTCCCAGCTTCACCAGTCCCCTTGTCCCAGCTGAGATTCCTGCATCCAGGGCAGCGGGAGCCCCTTCCTGGCCACTCTGAAGTCACTCAGAGCGCAGCTTCCTCCCAGACAGGCCAGCATGGGATGAACCCCTGGGCATGGGGGAGCCAGTACTATGTCCAGAAGGCGCTAGGACGAAGTGCTCCAGGGAGGCCACTGGTTGGAAGGGGCTCTTCAGATCCTGGCACAGGGAAGAGGTCCCCTCGGCAGGGCGGGGGTGCCTTGGTCTAGCCGGCCCCACTTACCTGATCTGTTGGCCGTGGCTCCCTATTTCACTTTCAGTTTCCTCTCAGAGGCAAGCCTGAAAGGAAATGGGAGGAACAGTGGGAGGAGCAGAGGGAGGAGCTGAGAGCTGAAGGGTGTGGGGAGGAGAGAGGCGACAGTTAGAGAGGAGGGAGGGGATGTGGGCGGGGAGAAAGCCAAGCGGAGGCGGGCGGTGTCAGCTGCCTCTGGCTTCTCGGAAGCGGGGACCAGGGAAAGCACGGAGCAGTCAGCCGTGGGCACGCCCCCTGCCGTGTGTCTCCTTTTTTCTCTACAAATGGAAGCGTCGCTGCTTTGACACTGGTCCTCACCCCACACCTAAGTGCTGTGTCCACGTCTGGATGCAGAGGCAAGGCAGGGCGCTATCCTTTCCTTGCCATCATCCGCTGTCTTCCAGAAATGAATTCCTTTTCACATACGGATATTCTTTTAAAATCTGGGGGTGAGAGATTTTGTTCCATAAAGATTTGTTCCATGAAGCCCAAGGCAGGTGTCATTCCAATGAGTGCAACAGACTTGGCATTTATTGAAAAAAACAAATCAAAACTGTTTTCTTGTCACTGAACTAGGGATAGTCTCTGACATTATTGTGATAAGATACATAGAACATAAAAGTTACCATCTTAATCATTAAAATGTACACGTCAGTGGCACCGATTACACTCATTGTTGGGTAACCACCATTGTCCACCCGCAGATCTTTTTTCAATCAGCCTAAACTGAAATCCTCTACCCCTTAAACATTAAGTGTACCCATTTATACTCCTCCTCCAGTCCCCGACAACCACCCCTTGACTTACTGCCTCTGTAAATTTGACTACTGTAGATGACTCATGTAAGTGGAATCATGGCTACTTTACTTACCACGATGTCCTCCAGGTTCATCCATTATTGTCACATGTCAATGTTCTTTCTTTTTAAGACTGAATTAATATATACATTTAGTTTATCTGTTCATCTGTAGATGGACACTGGGCTTGCTTCCGCCTTTTGGCTATCATGTATAATACTGAGGTGTCTGGTTATGTTTTTTAAGCTATACAACAATTTGGTGATTTAGGGGTTTTTACAGTCACATTGCAAGGAGACACACTAAGGCTGAACATAGTGAAGCTACTTGCTTGAGGTGACATAGTAGGTATAAGAGCACTAGAGCTGAAGGTATAGGAAAGAGCCTCATTTTGGCAACATCCCTGAGAGAGTAGAAGTTTCAAGGCAGCTATCAATGAGTGGACAAACTGTAGAGGAGAAAAGGGTGGTGAGACTGGAATTCTCAGTTCCTTTCAACATAGACTTATTTCTTTGTCCGTTATCACTTAATATGTTTAACAAATATAAAGGAAAGTTCAAAATATAGAAAACCTAAAAATACTTCATGCTTTGAAATTTCCAGTTCTATTTAAAAGTTTTTCTTTCTCTGTGAAAGACTATCAGGTGACAATTCCAGATTGTACTCAATTTCAGGAACATAAATATTCCCAGAAAGCAGAATAAAACAGATACAGATCACTTCTTCCTTGATTTTTTTTTTTAAACTGAGTTTGCAGACACTCAAATTGACTGCTTTAAACACGGCAGACCCTTTGTTGTTTCCAGCAGATGAGTAAGCCATCACTGAGGGCTAGGTCTCATAATAAAGCAGACGTGGATTCAGCACCGATTCCGCTAGGTGCCTACTTAATCTAAATAAAGTTAAGTAGTTTACTCATCTACTAAATAAAGATTAATACACATACCACAGGATAATTTTGGCATGTCCAATAATGTGCACACAGATCCATTAACACATGCCTGGATGCTACATTTCCCACCTTGGTAATTTAGAATGAGTGGCAACTTTGGTCTTAAAAGTCCTCTCATCCACTCACAGTAATGTGGTATTTCAGTGTTCTTTTCCTAGTTAAGTGACCCACATCTTTACTTCTGAAGGATCAGTGTCCTTAATGTCCCTGCCCAGACATTGCTGTTATTATTAAATAAAATGAGAATCTCTCCAGTGTATACCTTGGGTTTTAGACTTAGTCATCCTTGCCCCATTATCTGTTACTCTTGTAACAGGAATAAGTCATTGTGGCCAGTATAAGTAGTCTGACCTTGCCCATTTCTGTAGCGACTTATGAAGACCAAAGATGAGATAATTACAGATTTCAATTTATTAGAACCTGGTTGCTATCTCTGGTGGAAGGGCTTTTCCCTTTTTCACTAGGATTTCCAAACTGGCTTAGGCTCATGTAAATGAAGTGAAAGAAACTGTTCCATAAGCGAGTTATTAGTTTGAAAGAAATCTTATACTCTAATTAAATAGAAGATAGTGAAGGCATTGATAAATTCCTTAAGTCATATAATCTACCCATATCAAGTCAGGAAGATATACACAACTTAAACAGATCAATATCAAGTGAGGAAATAGAAGAAGCCATCAAAATATTACCAACCAAGAAAAGCCTAGGACTGGATGGATATACAGCCAAGTTTTACAAGACCTTTAAAGAAGAAAAAATTCCAATACTCCACAGTTTCAGGAAATAGAAAAAGAGGGAGTACTTCCAAATTCATTCTACAAGGCCAATATCACCCTGATTCCTAAACCAGACAAAGAGACCTCAAAGAAAACTTTAGACCAATCTCTCTAACGAATCTAGATGCAAAAAACCTCAATAAAATTCTGGCAAATCGGATACAAAAACATATCAAAAAGATTGTGCACAATGATCAAGTGGGATTCATCCCTGGAATGCAAGTTTGATTCAACATATGGAAATCAATAAACGTAATTCATCACATCAATAGACTTAAAGAGAACCATATGATCATCTTGATAGATGCAGTAAAAGCATTTGACAAAATATAGCACCCCTTTATATTCAAAACACTAGAAAAACTAGGGATAACAGGAATGTACCTCAACATTGTAAAAGCTATCTACACTAAGTCTTAGGCCAGCATCATTCTAAAGATAAACTGAAGGCATTCCCTCTAAAATTTGGAACAAGACAGGGATGCCCTCTCTTACCACTTCTATTCAATAGTTCTTGAAACACTGGCCAGAGCAATTAGACAGATAAAAGATATTAAAGGAATAACTATAGGAAAAGAAGAACTTAAACTAGCACTATTTGCTGATGATATGATTCTATACCTAGAAGACCCTAAAACTCTACCAAGAAACTTCTAGAACTAGTAAATGAGTTCAGCAAAGTGGCAGGATATAAAAATCAAAACCCACAAATCAAAGGCATTTCTGTATCAGTGACAAATTCTCTGAAAAGGAAATGAAGAAAACTACACCATTTACAATATCCTAAAAAAATAAAATACTTAGGGATCAACCTAACAAAAGAGGTGAAAGATCTTTACAATGAAAACTATAGAACCCTAAAGAGAAATAGAAGAAGACCTTAGATGGAAAGATCTACCTTGCTCATGGATAGGCAGAATATTAAAATGACCATACTACCAAAAGCACTATATAGGTTCAATGCAATTCCAATCAAAATCCCAATGGCATTCCTCATAGAAATAGAAAAAGCAGTAATGAAATTCATCTGGAAAAATAAGAGACTCAGAATGGCTAAAGCAATTCTAAGCAGGAAGAGTGAAACAGGTGGTATCGCTATACCAGATCTTAAACTATACTATAGAGCAATAGTAACAAAAACAGCATGGTACTGGCACCAAAACAGGCTAGTAGACCAATGGTATAGAATAGAGGACACAGAGACTAACCCACAAAATTATACTACCTTATATTAGACAAAGGTGCCAAAACCATGCAATGGAGAAAGGATAGCATCAACAAATGGTGCTGGGAAAACTGGAAATCCATATGCAAAAAAATGATATTGAATCCCTCTCTCACCATATACAAAAGTTAACTCAAAATGTATCGAGGATCTAGGGATTAAACTAGAGACTCTGTCTAATAGAAGAAAAAGTAGGCCCTAATCTCCATCACATGGGGCTAGGCCACAACTTCCTTAATAAGATGCATATAGCACAAGAATTAAAACCAAGAATCAAAACAAATGGGATAGATTCAAA